ATGTTGATGTATGTCTAATATGTATATGTCTATGAAATGAAAAAAGTCAATAAAAAATAAATAAAAATAAAATAAATACTTCTCGTATAATTATTCGTATAATGCGTCAACCATCAGATTAAATGAAGATATACTGTTCTTCTACTATGAATGGAATATGAGGAAATTCTACAGTCTACGTGAACTCTCCTGAACTATAAGCAAATCAGAAATTTCATCAAATATATATAAAAAAAACACACAAAAAACCTATTCCGATAAGAATAAATGTTAATACATCAGCTACATCCTAAATATAATATTGGTATATATACTTTATTTTTAAAATGAGTATGTAACTTAAGTCACTAAAGTGAAAAAATAGCTTGAAATGTAAGCATTATTGAGTTATACATATGGTAACGAAAGGAGTCTAAGTAGCCCTCGACAGAAGGTAATTATGTACTTAGTATATTATACAACGTACCACGGAAAACTCTATTGACAGGCAGAATATATTTTATACCTGGTATAGTCATGTGGGTATCCAATCAGTATTCTAGATTTTATCATGTCATCTTCTCCATGTTCATAAAATTCTATAAACAGGCATCTAACACTTCCGATCATTTATTTTGTCAGACATGACACACAATCTATCTATAGTTCTTCGGCTTTTTAAATCGTGTCAAGAAGGCTCCTATACCCGAGGCGATGACCAGTCCTCCCCCAATGTAGAAGGAGCCCCTCCAATTATGCTTATGCAAGATACCCCCTGTAAAGAAATGTGACCACTTTTATACATATAACATGTTCCTGCAACGTCTGATTCCCTCATACTAATATCCAGCTTACCTCCGCTTTATGGACCAGCTACATTGAAATAGTCCAGATTTTTCGTATAGCAATTAATATCAATGATATAACAAAAGCATGCCTTCTATCGCCTGAGTCGCCTAAAGCACACCCAAACAACAGTTTTTCAGTCTGGTCACATTATACACGAGCAATTAATTGTTATCTTACTTAGGTTAAATAAGAAAAACCATGGCCCTTTTATATATATAAACACACCAAGTGCATTGTACTATATTTTACTGGGTCATCTCAATACATAACAACATGGAAATATTAACTTAACGAAAATCGGCGAGAATTATCATTCGTCCCTTTCTGTTTCTACGTTCCTTATCTTCTGCCTTCTTTATCACTTTCTGTACGTGTTATATATAGGAGGTATTTTGTACATGCTTTTTAACTATTTACTTACTTCCTGCCAGAATTTTCACTATTTGTTAACTTCGGTGGTTTTATCTCTATATATCTGGAGGATTTATAACTATTCATGTTGTACCTTTAGCTAATTTAAACACGTTTTGAGTATTTTTTTTAAATTTTCCACCGTCTTAATCAGTATTGATTCACTTCTGTATGTGATACTAACATCTGTTACCTTTCGTATTTTAAATCAATGTTAATTTACTTTCTGCAGGTTTTCTACTTGTTTGTTCACTTTCTGCACGACAAATCAGTATTCCTTCTGCAGATTCGATCTCTATCTGTAACCTTCGAAGTATTTTATAAAAAAGGATTTACATTTTGCATGATTAGAACAACAATACTGAGATACTAACAAAACCACAGTTTGAAATCAAATCGATAAAAGTTTGGCAAATATGAACAAAACATTATTTATATTGGAAACCCTTAACAAAATACAAGGAAAATAATACCAAGTGTTCCAGAAGGGCACACGTCTTATGCTACATCTATGACATCCGCAATGTAAATTTAAGTCGAATCCAAGAAATGCCACGTCCTCGCATCGAGAGCACGTGTAGTGAGAACAAAACCATAACTATTTTGTTACTTTCTGTGTGCTTTATCAATATTTGTTTATATTTTGCAAGTTTGATAAGTATTTTGTTACCTTCTGCAGAATCTATAACTAATTCAGCGATCCCAGCAATGAATCCGAATAATCCCTCCACGATACGGACGTGACCTTTACCAAACGCATCCGGTATTGTGTTGTCTAGCAGCGAGTTGAATACTCCTGAAAAAGAAATAAATCATTCAAAATATGTACAATATACTGCTCATAGGTACGACGACATACCCAAATCTAACGAATTTAACAGCAAGTCTTGAAACTTTTTGAGCTACTTCAATTTGTTAATCGTTAACAGTTCTGACTTCACTCGTGTAACTGACGCATCAATTATAAATAATTATTGTTGCATTATAAACCTTTGTTGAGGTCAATATGTGGCTTTATCATCTTTGTTCTCGGTTAATGTGTCGTCAATAGACCCACGCATGACTTGACACATAAGGCTACAACTAATTCAAATGAACATTATTTTGTAAAGAAGTATTGCAATGTATGATTTATATCGGCGTTAAACCTTTTTTGCATATATTTACGACAGTTTGCAGTATTTGTTTTTAATGGAAATTAAAACAATTCAACAACCTTTGCTGATACCAAACAATGCTCCGAATGCTGCTACCAGTGCTAATGCATTGAGTGACGGAGCGATACAGAACAGTACTCCTGCTACAATGTTGAGCGAACCAACGATAATGAGTACGGTTCCTATTTCCCGTTCCTTCCAGCAGCAGCAGCAGCAAATCATCAGAAACAGGCCAGCAAGTTCGCCAAGGTTAAGAGCCAAAGTGGCTAGTGTCGTCGTAACAATATCTTCAATATCTTCAATTTTCACATTGGCAAGTAACTCATTGTATTGATTTGTTGCCAATGGCTTCCCTGTTGATAGTTAAGTAACAATCATGAGATGAAACAGTTTAAAACAAAGGAGTGTAAAATAGCTAAGACATTGTGAACAGAACAAGTCAATTAAGACAATTCAAAAAGCACAATATCGATTTAAACACTTTTAATAACACAATCTCAATTAAAACACTTTGAAAAGCACAATGTCAATTTAGAAACCTTGAGCATTACAATATCAATGTAAACACTTAAATATTTGCATTTTATTTGCTTCAAGCGACCTCTACGTAAAAATCATGTTTTGGGAAATCGACAGTTTCAATCGTTTCGTTATATTTATCTTTATGCATAACCCCCCATCACCACCCACCTAGTAAAGTATACGCGGAAACTACATTAACAAACAATTATTATTTCTAAGAACTGGTGGCCTTTTTTGCACAGAAATTATTGATTTATTGAGTGAATGCGCATGTTACACTTTGAGAAAGAATTTGTTGGTTTTTTTTTTCATATTTGACCGAAAACAAATTTTGACCACATGTATATGCTCCGACAGTTGTCTTGTGTGGCTGATTAAGAACACACTTCTAGCTTAAACACTGTACACGTACCAAACTGGTCTAGGAAGACGATGACGAGAAGTAAGTACAACACAAGGTCCTTGAACAGCTTCCAATCCACAAGCCCTGGCACATAACCAACACAGTTCCTTCTTCCACTGTTCAATTCGAGAGGCTTAAGAAAGGCACAGCATACGGTAGCGATACCTACCGGGATTAGCGTATACCTGAAATTGTGTCGCCATTTTCCGAAAGTCGACGGGGTTGAAAGGTTTCCAAGGACAAATATAATGACACCAATGACCTCTCCGACTCTAACTATTCCAATGGCGCGGATTCTCTTTGTCGCAAAATATTCCAGAGGGGGAACAATTGCTGTGAGCAGGAGGAAGGATGATCCCATAGCTGTAAACACAGAATGTATAAGAATGTTTAACATTCGACCTCAGTAGACCGGACCTCGCCTAGCTCAATGTTACACCAAGTTACGTCAATAAGCCGTGTTCAAAAAGAACACGCCTACAAACCGAACGGTTGTTTCAGCCACATTCAAGTAATGAAACATGGCTTTAAACATGTACATGCAATGTAAATTTTACATTTCCATATACGTGTATGCGTAATCGTAAGTTGACAAAGCGCGCAAACAACAATGTTGTACACTGCTTTTGATATCAAGGACGACACCGACCTCAAACGTTCTATCAACCAATCCACGAGCCAGATACAGTGAGTGACACGCTGAAACAACCGTTCGGTTTGTAGGCGTTTTTTTTTTGAACACGACTTGTTGACGCCGTACCGATTTTGATTGTAATGTTAAAAAAACTACAACTGCACAAGTAATGGAAAGTGTTTTACGTGCAATAATATTAAAACTGTTGATTTCTTGAAGCGGGTAGGGCGTCCTTTCTATAACGTGTATACCTGGTTTTTGGGAACACGAAATTTGCTATTGATCTTAAATTCTTACTTGAAGCCTATGCAGATTATCCAGCAAATGCCCAGTCACTGTCAACCCAGTCCTCGCTAACAGAGGTTATTCTTAAACTTAGTTTTGACACAGATAACACTTTAATTACACACTTTAGATTACACACTTTAATAATAATAATAATATACAGCATCTGATTTAGCGCCCTATCTAGATAACATAAGCCACTCTAAAGCGCTTTACAGTACATAGAAATGCAATTGACAAATTAACATATACATAAATCAGTACATATTTTGAGGATTTCGGAGGAGCTGCCTTATCAGGCGCGAACTACTAGTCCTATGCCACCTGGCTAATATCTCCCTATGTGTGTATGCCTGCGTGTGTGCTGGAGATGTAATGTGTTATGTCTGTAGTGGGGCCGTGCTTCCAACGGCATCATTTATAGTGCCATCTCACTTGAGTGCTACAGCACATATACCAAACATCCACCCCAGACCAATTTATACTCCACCTGGGTTGTTGGAGTTGTGTGGTCAGGGGAAAAACAATTTCTCTGAATGTCCATGCGTACGACGACTTCGGGGATCGAACCCCGGCCGCCCGCGTGGAAGTGTGAACTCTTCTGCAAACTAGGATAAATTAACAACAATAAACAGCATTTTTATCTATTCATGAAAAAGAAAATCACAAATAGCTCGTTTATCAGACAGTCCGAAAAAGCCCCATTTTAGAAATAATATTTGTTTTGCCCACAGGATTTGAACAGGAATTAGCGATAATACACTCTGGTTATTTACTGTCCTGACAAGGATCTGTAATTATACTTCCACGTATAAGAGTCTGCTGATTACCTGCCAGTCCTCCTACAAGAACGGAAATAATAGGAAACATGTCTCTTTCTAGCAAGGACGCCACAAACAGCCCTACGGCGTACATTATACAGCCAGCGATTCCGACCACGCGGTAACCAAACAACACCATCAAGATGGCGGCCACCACAACTGTAAAAATAAGTCGAAACATTTTCAATGATTTGAAAAAAGCTACTTTATTTGTCTTGCTATATATTATTATAATCACAGTCGCTATGTTCAATAACGGTAGAGTAAATTCGAAACGTTAAAGAAAAAAGAAATATAAATATTAAAAACGTATCTTACCTCCTAATTCTTTTACAGCAAGGAATGCTTCTAGGATGTCTTTACCGAATTCTTTGTTGAAGTCATCCGACAAAAATATCAATCCTTGCACTACAGTATTGCACATATTGAGGATGAAGCATGCCAGGACAATCATCCAGGAACGCCAGCCTCCATCTGGGGGGTTGTACACCGAGGTTCTGGTGGCGGCTGTCTCCGGCTCCATGTTTCCAACCTGCATCGTCTCTACCGGCTGAATTTAGACATAACACAGGTATCACAAAGCTAAAACATATGTAATCTTTGTATAAAATGTGCGGTTTTGTGATAAACAATTCAATAAAAATCGCACTGATTAACAACCCAAACAGTGGTTTGTATTGTTTATGACAAACAATCAATAACAACACAGTGTTGCTATCCTACTTTAGTACGTTTGGAAGCGTGCAAATAAACCAGCTACCGTAAATCTTTCATGACGGCGTTGTTGTGTCTGACATTAACCCAATTTTGCACAGAGACTGCAACAATGTGCCTGGTTGTATTTACTTCAGTTTATTTATCGTTTCATAATGTTTTCTGCATGACTCAGCGAAACAAAATGAATACCACAGGTATCAAAACTAAAACATTTCACTGGGATATCTCGATAACAAGTACCAGATACACATCACACTACTTACAATGTACCTGTAATTGAAAATAGGAAGAAAAATGAATATATACCATAAAGGCTGGCAAGAAAGTAAGTAAACCATTCATGGGGGTTTCCTGAAAAAGGATGATCCCACAGCAAAAACAATACTAACATCTCTGAAGTTACTACACACAAGCATTTAGGTATTTTTCTCTCTGGAAATGGTCATTGAAATGAACACATCAGTTATTTGATATCTAAGATTTCACCTAAAATAAATATATTACGTAAATTTAAATTCTCTTTGGACAGGTATAGTCTCCAAACTATGTACTACACTCTTATTCGACCTATATTAGACTATGGCGATATCTAATGGGACTACCTTACTCAAGCTCAATCTGAATTATTAGAAAATCTTCAATTAGAAACAGCACGCATAGTCACTGCCGCCACTAGACTCACAAGTAGAATTTAACTGTATACTGAAACAGGTTGGCTTCCCCTCGAGGAAAGACGTAAACAGCACAAGCTTATTCTTTTCCACAAAATGGTTCATGGTCTGGCTCCTCAATATCTTCTAGATATTCTACCTCAGCGTAACCCTAATTACCACAACCATGATACTCGCACGGAAAATAATTTTCGTCCACTAGTTAGTCATACGAGTCTCTATAAGAAATCTTTTTTGCCATCTGTCATCAGTATCTTGAACTCCTTGCCTGACTATGTCAAGAACGACCCTTCAATTTATAAACTTAAAACCTATCTGCGCAAGCCCGCTCACAAAATTCTACTTTAATGGTACAAGACTGGGGCAGATACATCATGCTAGATTAAGAATGGAGTGTAGTTCCCTTAAGTTTTATTTATACCAGAGAAATAAAATTGAAAGTCCTCTGTGTTCTTCCATAAAAGCAAATGAAACCAATGAACATTATCTATTACATTGTTGTCCTTTTTCTCAACTACGTTTAACGACGAAATCAACCATCCACTCTCAACTGATTTACTATTGTTCGGGAATGATGAGCTTTAAGATA